TCTAACCATCAATGTAAATGGACTCAATTCACCAATTAAGAGAAATAGACTGGCACAGTGGATTAGGAAACAAAATCCAACAATATGCTGTATAAATATTTTGCTAAATTTATACTTAAAATTTCATCTTTGGTGTACTGTTAGAAATGGTATTGTTTTCAACTTCAAATAAACTCTAGTTTATTGCTCTAATCACTTCAGATATTTTCTTTTGGGTTTTCTATATAGATGATATCACCTGTTTAAAAAGGCAGTGTTATTTCTTCCTTCCCAATTTATACACCTTTTGTTTTTTCATGTCTTACTGCATTTGCTGGGATTTTTCAGTATCATGCTGAAAAGCAATAGAAAAAGAGGACATCTTTGCCTTATTTCTGATCTCAGTGAGAAAGTTGCTAGTTTCTCACTGTTAAATATGTTGTAGGGGCGAGAACCTCAGTGGTCTAAAGTGCCTGCTTAGGCAGCCACAGGGGACCGCAGTTTGATCCCTGGCACCATATGTTGTGCCCTGCCCTCAGGGCAGGCTGAACTAGCCAAAAAATCAAAAATAAAATAAAATATACTGTAGGTCTTTGCAGCACACATCATTTCTCTGGTTGAGGAAGTTTCCCTCTTTGCCTAGTTTGCTGGGAGTTATTTTAGTTTTTGTCATGACTGCATGTCAACTGATGATCATCTGATTTGCTTCTTTAGATGTGATAATTATTTTCTAATGTTCAGGTAGCCTTGTAGGCCTGGGGTAAACCCAACTTGGCCAAGTTTTTTTTTTTTCCCTTGATGGTACTGAGACTTGATCTCGGGGAGTGCTAAGCCAATTGAGCTTTTAAAATTTTGTTTTGAGATACAGTGTCACTAAGTTGCCCAGGTTGTCCTTGAATCTGTGGTTTCTGCCTCTGCCGCCCTAGTAGCTGGGACCGCATGTGTGTGTCACCACACCCAGGCTAAATTTTTTTAATACTACCAATAACATCAATTTTAGGTTAGATTTTTGGGGTGCTAAAAACCCATTATTTTTATTTTTACTAAACAAAACCAAAACCATTACCCCCCCCAAAACACATCCTTATGAATTCCGATATTTTCTTTTTCTTTTTTTTTTTTTTTGCCAAGAAATGCTTAGAACAGATTAGAAATTTTTGTTGGAATATTTATATACTTTTCAGAGACCCACTTAAGAATCCATACATATTTTTGCACATGTACAAGGATAATTTAGTGTCAGCATTTTATGATATTAGTCTATACCAATATAACTGTCACAAAACAGGGTACAAAAATCATTGTTTCTTCAAGCTCATCATACAGCAAAAGAGAGAGAGCCAGAGAACACAGACACACTGATAGGTGTTTCAAAAAATGATTTTTATTGTTACATTCCCAAGAAGACATAGAAGAAAACTGCCAGTTATCCAAGAACTGTTATACTTTTCAGAGAGAGGCATCCAGAACTCCAGTACTAGTTCAAAGCTGCACACACTTGAGCTCAAACAGCTGCCTTTCAGCATGACTGGAAATGCTGACCAACACATGTATGTCATCAATCCAGGGAGGTTTGGGTTTAAAACAAAAATTCCTTATTGCAAATGACCAAGTCCTTAGGCTTTGTCCTTAAAGATACTAGAAGATGGGGAAGACCACACACACTGAAACTATGTTTAGTCATTAGAGTAAACCAGCAGACAGCCAGTTTGTTCTAGGATGTTCTAGGGAGAGCCACCATGCATTTCAGATCCAATTTACCATGAAATCCAGCCACAGGCCAACCAGGTATCTAGATAATACAGTCAGTGCAAAAGTCATTTGGGTAAATCAGCACTTTGATGAGGCTGACTACACTGGAAAATATGAACAGAATTTGAAAATAGTAAGGTCTATTTACAAAAGTTGGTTTAGTAAAGTGACATGAGAAAAGCTGTGTCAAGCA